CCACATGGAAAACTCAGTAGACCTACTCAGAGTCTACTCAGTAGACCATCATGTTCTTCCGTGTATACAAGTTGTATAATACAAATTGTATTATACAATCGATTTGTACCTTTTTTGGAAACATCATAGATATCATGGCGTGGGGTTGTTCGATACTCAGTACCCTTTACTGTGTAGTAACGCCATGAGGCCGAGATACTTGGTACTTGGTGTTGGACTCACTCGGAGTCACTCAGAGACCGCTGATACTAGTGACGATGTCTGACACGTAGTCGCGAGCTCGTATTGTAGGATTGTGAAGCAATATGACAAGCCTCAATTCGAGGCTTGTCATATTGCTTCTTACCATTAAACCATCTTTGAAGAACTCGTTCAGAAGACAGCCTATTCCTGATGATGCCGCTACTCTTTGCGCCTGGAGAACTGCTCCCATCTCTGATGCTAGCTCTTCTGCGACAGGGCCAGCGACTCCATAGCGAGGGCCATAATTGCCGCAGCTACCTTTTTTCGACCAGCGCTGTTCAGATCCCCCGGTGCCGGTGCTCTGTCCCTTCCGCGCGATCGCAAGAGCAAGGCGAACTGATCTGTCGTGACTTTGATCATCAGGTCGTGATCGTCCGAATAAAACACATGTTCAATAGTCACTGCCAGTGACTCACTGGTCCCAACAGCCCTTCTAAGTTACAGGTTCTAACCTCGCCCTCAGACGCCTGATCAGTTCGTCCCGGAAAGACCCCAGACCTATTTCCCAACACTTGTTCCACAACCCTTGCCCATCACTTCTACCGTTGGTCGTCATACTGACTCTGGGACACTTCAAGGGACACCTACAGTAGGTGACCTACTACTGTGGATATATTTAACAGAAAATGAGGCAAACCTATTAGAAAAATAAGATTGGGTGACGCCGTCACTCAGTGTGGCTGCCGAAACCTCACCATGACGGTCATCCAGTGACCCAGTAGGGAACAAACAGCATCTTGAAATCCCGTTATACCCAGTCGAGCGAGTTTATGTGTTGCGAAGTTCTCAAGCATGATGCTTGAAGCATCTCGTTGCCTCCGGTAATCGCCCTTGTCTCTTGGTCTCTACGAGACCGCCTCGTCCATCTCAAGGTCCTTGCCGGAACCTTGGTATCCCCCCGCGGTTGCAAGCCCGAAGTCCATGACTCATGGACCATGAGCCTCTCTTCTCGGGCCATGACCTCGAATTCGCCATAGCCAGCAGTGCTGGTTACTGCTCGTGGTGCATCGAGAGATCCTGTCCGGTGTTCGAGGCGCTCGACCGACACTTCATTATGAAGGGTCGGGCAGAGCGCCTACGAAGTCTTCATATAGTCTGGTGAGGCTCTGCAGAATCTGGGATTCAGATTCCCGGCTCGCTACGATCTCGCTTGTTCCAACTCCCATGATGGGAATTTCCAGTGAGAAATAATTACACAAGAAAGTGAAGTCAGTAGTAACCACTGGGTGGTTTTGCTCTTGTCAGAGGATATCATTAGTGGGTTTAAAGACAAGTTGACAACGGCATTCGAGCCGGATTCTAGCTCGTAGCTGTTAGAAGAGGTGTGTCATTGTTATTCAGTTCCGTAGTGAGAGCGTAAGGTGCACAGAGGGGGTCAACAAGTTTACAGACATTTTCTGAATTATTCGAATCGGAAGGCAAGCCCATGGCCTATTCAAACAGCGTAACCAGGTCTAGACACTAGGCGGTTTCTAAACAAGATTCCCACTACCCTCTAACAAACAACAGACATTCACGATGTACTCGAAGACGCAATACCAATTATCCATAGAGAAACTATACTCGCTATAGAGCGGAATGATCGTTTGCAGTTGAGGTTATCACACGGCATCACGCTGACTGTCAGTCAGTCAGTGACTGAGCACGTTCTTTTAAAGCAGTGCCAATAAGCCTACCTCTACTCGCCCATTCATACAAGTCACTATCGAGTCTTCCCCGTGACCCCTTCTGCCTCAGCCAACTTCTCGACCTCATCCAGGATCTTCTTAGCACTGTCGCAATTAGCTGTGCTCAGCACCGGACCATAGCCGTGCTCACGGAGAACTTTCGCAGCCGAGCCTGTACAAAACATTAGCACCCAAGAAAGGCGGACGGGATGATTCACCTGATCTCCTGCCAGAGGCACAATAGACCAGAACAGGAGCATCCTTGGGGACTGCGGACATCATCGACTCGACTTGGCCGACTGGAATATTGAGAGCGGCGGGAAGAGGCGCTGGAAGAAGAAGACATGCAACAACAGTAACAAATGAGTTACGAAAGGAACGGTACGAAATGGAGCGCTCATATTCAACCTACGTCTGAATGCCAGCTCGCCAGGGCTTCTAACATCGACAACCGTGACCTTCTTCCCCTTCGCAACTTCAGCAGCTAGATCAGCAACAGTTGTGGAATCGCTCGATATCACAGACCCCATTATAGCAACGGCAATCAACGCTGCCACGAGAGGCAACAACTTTCCCATAGAGCAAGTCGACCGCGATGAAGGAGAGCTCATTACTTTAAAAGTAACAGAAACACAGTGAACTGAAAATTGACACCAAACATCACGACCCTCAGCACCATCACAAGACTGGAACTTTTGGTCAAGTTAACCGACCACCTTTACGTGAAAGTCTATTACACCGATGCGCACCAGGCGCTGGGAAAACGGTGTGGAAGCTTCTCACATGGTAAACTAATGTGAGCATTATTATTTGATCGTGGCCTCCACATCTTCTTCGCAAGTTCCTCGGCCTCTCTAGCAGCCTTTTTAGCAGCGTCACGATCTGTTACATTCATAACAGGTTTACGACCAGCTGCTCTCAACGCGTTACCAGCGCGCTCTATGACGACAAATAAATTGTGACGACACACTCATGTGCACGGCTTACTAGCTCTCATTCCAACAGCACAGTGAACGATAACAGGGCCCTCGGGAATTTCACTCATCCTATCGTTGAACTCAGCGATAGGGATATGGATGCTGCCAGGGTTTGACGCTGAGAAATTCATCGACTCCACAAGAGCGAAGATGAGCTCTTCAACGATTCTTACGTTTTGCCTTCACTTCATCGTCAGTTCTAACATCAACAATTATGAGCTTCTTTCCTTTCGCGATTTCAACGGCCAGATCAGCCGTAGAAGTAGAATCGGTCGACATCATAGAGCCGAGTACAGCAACAGCGATCAATATCACGAGAGGTAACAACTTCCCTACAGTGCCGGTCAACCCAGAACCGATAAGAACGACTAAGGACAGAAGTCCTATATTCGTTAGAGGCGACGATGAAGCCATCGCGATCGGGATAGTAAACTACGAACTAGGAGATAACAACTGCTTTTTCAAACAACCCAAGAATAGCTGCTTCACAAGTATTTCATCTCCGTTAACCATGACCATGGTAAAAGTATATCATGAAACTCGCTCGGTTTCGAAGAATTCGGCAACCGGCTACGACTGATGCAAGGCTTCACATTCTCTTCGCGAGCTCCTCAGCCTTCTTAACAGTCTCCTTAGCTGCAGCGCAATCAGTCACATCCACAACAGGGTGATAACCAGCTGCTCTCAACGCGTCACCAGCGCGCTCTACGACAACAAGACATGAAATCTGACGTGCACTCGAGTGCACGGCTTACTAGCTCTCATTCCGACAGCACAGTGAACGATGACAGGGCCCTCGGGAATTTCACTCATCCTGTCGTTGAACTCAGCGATAGGGATATGGATGCTGCCAGGGTTTGACGCTGAGACGATAACGAAATTAACAAACTACCCCATAGAAACACTCGGGAGTCTCTACGCTTATTCTTCACTTCATCATCACTTCTAACATCAACAATGATGAGCTTCTGACCAGCCTTCACAGCCTCAGCGAGGTCCTTAAGAGTAGCACTAGACATGACAAAATAGTTAGATAACGACAACTACAACCACAATAATGCCGAGAGGCAAACTACCCTCTGCAGAGTTCATCAGCAAACCATATACACCAATCGCAGCTCATGTTAGTCACGCGGGAATCCGACACAAAAAGACACCTACACAACCAGCAAGTACCTAGAAACCACTGTGAACTTCCGAGGGTAACTTTCAATCCTTCTTCTTCAGTCACATCTTCATGAGCTCCACTCTACCACTGAATGCGTCTACATCCCATCATGCATGGCATGCGAGCACGGCGCTCACCCAATAGGGGTACTTTGCTCAATAGCCAACACGATACAGATAACCACAGCCCTCAAATGAAGCCAATACTGCCTTCTACCAAAACCATACACCTCTATTGATGAACTCAGCTAGATGTTTGGATGAAAATGACCATTCCCCTCAACAACAGCAACAGCGATAGCTGTAGTCTTCACCGCGCCACAAAATTATTCAGCCTTTAAATCACCGTTCCTATGGGCCGCGAAACGACGGTAAAGAACGTCAAAGCGAGTGAGCAGTTTCTGTCCATCCAGCTCGCCGTCCTCATGAAAGTAGTTTCCTATGCTCTCTCTGATCTCCTAATCACGACACAAGATTATTGCACGCATGCACATGAGTATCTTGACATCACCTCGGACAAATTCGACTGGTAACTTCGCAACCTTAACACCAAGTTTGAGCCAAATCCCGGCATTTCCACATCAACGAAGATTCTCTCACCAGTCTGAGCAAAGGCAACTTCCACCATTCAACTACTGCTCCGCCACCACCAGCAGCATCTACCTCGCGATCGCTGATCTGCATGCCGCTCGACTTCATCCATAACATGTCTACCACACAAGTGATTCCAGAAAACAGGAAGTACCCCAGGACACAAAATCTCAGCAGAGAGGCATCCTGAAAAGTCAAATGTTGAAAGATACGAAAGTGGTCGCGTACCGCGGGGAACTTGAGAAAAAATTGGCCGATAACGCCCGCCGTGCAAGCCATAGTCATAAGGACTATTCTCATCCAAGGGAGACTCGTGTTCTCAATATACCCCAAGGCAGGTAGTGCCTGAATAGAGCAAGGAGTGGTATGAAATGCTGCTAGCCAGGGCCTGTTACCTCCCCAAAAAAGTCATTGACCGCCTTGACAATCTCGTAGGACGAATATAGATTGCCGGCCGCGCCTGACAAGATACCGTTGGGGTCCGAAACTCGCCAAAAAGTTTGGACTAATGAGCAGCCGAAATGTCAACAACCATACACAGCAATCACGTCGGTGCTGATAAAGTGTCGCCTACCAGCGAACTTACGCGGTTCGATCCCATGAGGGACTTCTACGCGAGGGCCGCTGCCTCCTTGACCCCCTCGCTTATTCTGTTGTTGTTGTTGCTGCTTCTTGTTGCTGTTGGCAGTAGCAGAGCCTCCTGCCATATTGAAAACGCCAAGAAACTGACCACGCCCTATGCTAACTTCGACAATACAACAACGGGTATCAAGTGACAACGAAGGAGTGTAATGGTCATCATCATCTACATGTGAGAGCGGCTGATCTCCTGCCGACATCAACGATCTGGAGTATCATCTGTCCGATACCTGTGGTAACGAAATCAACCTCTTCCGTATCTTACATAGGCAACCCTAAGATACCCCCTCACTTATCAAGGAGTTGTCTAATACTCATTTCTGCCTCTTCCAGCGATCCAGCCTTCTTCTTTTCCCCTCTCCCTTGCCCTCTACTTTTACTGTATCGTATAGCCTTCAAAGGGCTTCCACTGAAAGCCTCCCCACCCGTCGTCAACATCGACGAGCTCGGCGGCATCGACGGCTGCGAACCACACATGACGCTCCTCGCGGTCGCCGCTCTCGTCACTGTCTCGCTGGTGCCTACACTGCGCCATCCAGTCACCATTTCCCCGATACTCTCCCTACATGGTCGAGTAAGGTAGTCCCCGGCACTATCTGTCGTGCTCCCTGTGAACGGCAAACGTGCCGAAATGAAGGAGCCCTAACACAAGGCTGCCACATCGTCAACCCAGAGATTCTAAGCCCACATTATCCCAGCTATATCTGCCCTGCCCTGTCGCCCGCTTCCTGGCCTCTTCCACTACCAGGGATATCTCATCCCGGTCCGATCCACTATCTTCCTCTCCCACATCATTGGCCTACAACGAACTACGCTGAACTTGCCGAGCGCTAGCAGCAACTTGCCTTGTCCAAGTCGCAGAGCGCCGTAGTAGTTGCCAACAACTTATCCAGTTCCGGACGTAACTGGGGAGGACACCTTCGACGATCTCCTCAAACCACATACCGACCATCACTCTACGATGCGATGCACTGGACCGAGCCACGGCTAAGCTCCCTCGCCTCCCTCGGTACAGTTCATATCTAAAGCACTGTGCATAAAAACATGAACTCTGATTCTCCTTCACATTGTAAAACCAGAAGCTTGTGTTTGGGAAACACAATCAACCCTCGTGTCGTCATATAGGACCTCCAAATTCGGTACGAGATCGATAAGCTCCTTCAGGGAGGCCTTACGAGTGACAGGATTGCCCTCGAGCGAGAGCTGCCATACACTACTGCCTGATAAGTGATAGGTAATAATACTAAAGGGTGATGCACTACAGAGGTCTCACATGTGGCGAGGGCTGAGAGGTCGCTGATGGTAGAGATTGAGTTGCCTTCCACGTCTACTATTTGGAGCGAGTCCATCCATTCGATGCCATGCATAGTGGTAAGACAATTAAAGGCAAGGTACCTTCACAAGGGATCGAACTCGGGACCTCTCGGATGAAAGCCCGAGCCTTTAACTCACAGCTCTTGCAAGGTGGGCAGCAATGAGCTCATGCCCGAGAGGTCACTCAAGTGACTCCTGGACAAACTAAAGACACCGAAAGTGATACTCAACCTGCATCGGTCCGTTCTACTTCAACACTATCAGCCCTCCTAACTTCGTCCCTAAGCTTCGAGCACTGCCTATGTATGAACCCGCGAGACTAACACCAATAATGGCAGCCTATGGATGCTTTTCAGTCGATAACCCACTTCAAAACAGTAAGAGCTGGTAGGTAATCTCCTATACTGCTAACATCATGGGCCTCGGTACTCAACTAAGCAGTCTCGATTATCTCACTCCAACACTACCACTGCTACTTTCATTGTGATCTCAGTGACCTCCCCAAGATCCTTTCCATCTCCTTCCTCGCCGCCCTTTATGTGTGCCTACACTCACCGGTTCAGGTAAGCTCGCCAGTCTTCGACCGTATACGATGTAGATAACTTTGTTCCCTATGGTACCGCTCTCCCCGTACTACTATTACTACCCCTATAAATTCTTCAGTAATGTCGCTGTCCATGCACTCTAGCACATCGTGGACTAAGTCGCACCTCAACGGAGGAAGGGAGGGGGTATGGGCTATTGATGATGACATAGAGCCATCACAGCTACTTCAGTCAACTACAATAGGGAATCACTCAAGACGCAACGCAAACCACGAGCTCGGAGAGATGAGGGAGGATGCCAAAGGTGCCTCACTTTGCACCAAAATGCGAAATCGGCGGAACGCGAGTCGTTTCGCTCCGCCCGCGCCATGAAAATCAATTCTCAATGTCCCACGCAAGATTGCTCCTTGCCATGACCCTCAAGAAGGAAGAGTAGATGTTCACACACTACAGCAGATGAATCCATGATCATTCCATATTCGAGCATACATAGGGAACCATGTAAGAGAGCAACTGAGCAAGTATTGGCCAGCCATACGTCCCACTTGAGTGGCTGAGGTGGCTGTTGATGAACAGTCACTCACGTATTATCTACCATGCCAGACGTGTATAATTCTGCATCCACAAAAAATGTCTGCGTCCCCTCACCAAACCGTTAAACTTGAGTTGCGTTTCTCCATGCTAACGACTCAATCTTCTACTTTCATCTCTCTCAGCGTTCACACTTTCACCTTCACATCCTTACCAATGCACTTCCCTCGCTTCACCCCAACCATGCTGTTGATCGCCGCCCTCCTCATGGACTCCTCTGCTGTTAGACTACAACGCAGAGGTAAAGGCGGTCGTGTTGCCGAGCCCAAGACGAGCTTATTCTCCAAGATTTTCAATAGGTGATCAAACATGCCCCTTTGAGTAGTATGAAATGGCTAACCGGAGTTCGTTGTTGATGTTGTCAAGCGTATCCGTGTTTCATTGAAGTCATCCAATACCTTCTGGTGGAGTCGATAAGCTTCATTGTAGACCAGGCACTTCTCAACAAGCGGAGTAAGAAAGCTAAACCTCTCGAGGCTGCCAGTAAAATAGTAAATTCGTTACAACTTCTACCATACAACGGTTGTGATAGGTGTGCATGCCCTTCTCCAGTACCACACCATGTTGTGTTCGAGTACCATCCTCACTAACCTCAGTTAGCCCGCAGCAATGCTAAGGAGCCTCCAGCTTCGAAGCTGCCTAAGACTAATGCAAGTGAATACGTTACGACCTTATGGTCAGCCCATCACGACTAAGCTCCCCTATGAACCCTGGCCCTACGACCATCGGTACCTTGGGATGACGGCGAGGTAGTAGGGGGGAACAGAAGTACTCTTGTGGTGGCAGGGAAGAATTTTGTAGTAATCCCCCCGTATCGGTCCTGGTGTTGTATGGCTTCTTTTGAATTCCCTTGAGCCTCTTTATTAGGAGAACCTCTATACCCTCCTAGAGTGTGTTCTCTCTCGCGTTGAGTTTACTCCTAGGTGGTTGGTATTTGTCAGGGAAGTTATCAGCAAATTCAAAGTAGTCTCCTTCCCTCTGAGGAACTTCCCAAAGCCCCTGCTGGACACCACGGTTGACGAGATATATCAAAAGAGCTCTAAGCTGCACTTCAAGTCGTGCATCTACGCCATGCAACTCCTGCAGAAGGGAAAGTACACCTGCACACGTCTCCATTGATACCATAGCCACCACTGATAGGTACGATAGAGTGCGGACGATCAGGTCTGAGGACTACTATAAACCTCCGAAGCGGCCGAGATTCTTCCAAAGGCTCAACAGGATGCGACGGTGAGGACTATGCTTCTGCTGCCAGGATGGTATGAGCTACAATAGGTCGACCAAGCTGGGTATCAAACGGAATGGTCTCAAACGTATCTGCGGCCTCACTGGAAAGACTCGAGACGTAAGTCGCGCTCCTTCGCATCGTCGTTCATCATGGCCATTGTCGTTGTCTTCAGGAGTGATCACCATTATAGCTTCGCCTTCTAGCATGTTTCTGACTCAATCTGACTTGCATGTTGTCAATTTGGAGACCAACTCGTTTGAAGGGCATACCCGACGGCGAGGGAACGCACATGAAATCAATGGTATAGGGATTGCCGTGCTCAGTCCCATATAGTAAATATATCAGAATGCTGAGTTCACGCTGGTCCACTCAGAGTGTTGGCCAGTCATGCGAAGTATGAGAGCGGAGTAATGGCCAGTATGACCAGTATGCCAGTATGACCACAATTGGCCAGTATGAGAGCGGAGTAATGCCGCTCTCATACTCGCACAACTCACGCGAAAGATGTCATCGGTGAATGAGAGGGTCGGCATAACAGAGACCCACGATCTCTCGAATGCTCATCCAATGAACCTCAATCTCTTCATCAGAATAACACGACCATTCCGCGCGAGTGGAAGGATCCGCCATACATTCTGCGATATGGTTGCTATACGTGAATGTTCGTGCCGCGTCTACAGGCTGCCGTATCTGTGGTGATGTCGTTATAGGATCCGTTGGGTTGCCCTTCATGGCCGACTTCGAAACCGCAGGGAGTCGCCCGGAGACCGCAGATCCCTGCTCAGTACGCTTCGGGGAGTTCAAATTCCGCAACGGGGGCCGATACCGTGGACAGTAACGTCGGTTGCATTGAAGATGATAGAGCTTGGTGCATGCTAGATACATCCTAGAAGCACTGCAAGATGGGGATACAGAAAACGATGAGTCTATACAGTATCGTAAAGTTATCCATGGCGAAGGGGAATACTACAACAAAGGTAGACGCACATATCAGGCTGTGATTAGCTCGAGGAGTGGTAGGCAATCACTTCAATGGCATCTGGCATCGAGGAGCTCGCTGTTACGGCACGCAAAGGTTCAAAAACGGCGACTGCTATACTGGATATTTCAGCTGCGTAAAGGCAGAAGGTGACCCACGAATGGTTCAAGAGTGAGCTGAACCACTGCATCAGCAGATGGTGATCCGATCAAGGTGTTGTCCAATACGTACCAAGGCTATGGAACATATAAATGGTCCCTTCCCAGAGGTCGCCATCAAGGAGATAAAACGTAGAGTGGTTGGCACCGGTCTAGTGGACGGCTGGTCAGTTACGTGGGAATGTGGCACGATGGCAAGATGCACGGTTTGGGCAAATACTCGTATTTTGTGGAAGGTGTCAACTGCAAGGAGTTCAACGGCGTTAGTCTAGAAGGTCGGCATGGCAGTCGCTGTCAAGACCTATTAGGCTACGGTAGGCTCTTTCGACTCTGGTCGGGACGCCGAGAGCCTTGCTGAGTATATGGTTTGGTACGAAGACCTCCTCAAGCCGGGGCTTGTGAATGCGGTTAGGAATTTAGGCGAGAAGGTCGCTGCTTTGATTGCCGAAGGTGAATGAGATATCTTCGGGTATCCTCATGGTGCAAATTACAGGAGTTGATGCGAATGACCCCAATCGGGAGGCATTAGCCACTGAGTTGCTCATGAGGGAGTCAAGCGAGCTCAAAGCAACTGAAGATGAAGAACCACACTCAGTGTGAGTCTATTGGGAATAGTTTCATCACGGGCCTTCCCTTATGGAGATCAAGACTGGCTGCAGGTGGACACGACCATCGGCTGGAACTGTGGAGGCCCCTGCATGCCTCACCCCGGAAGCCAGAGCGACTCTTTCAACCGTTCGAGCGCTGTTGGCACGGAGGATGCTGGTCGCCGCTATCGCTAGCATGATCAATGATGACAGCGTAGGGCGTAGCTAACCGCTGTTCGAGAATTTTCGATGTCAGACTGATCCAGTTGAGACTTCCAAGGGGGCCGAAGGAGAGCCCAGTGATAGACTGGTGTTTGATATACTCAAAGATGAGGATGCGAAAGACCTCACTGGTTCAGCCCAACTTCGTATATCATATCAGGTGACCGTACGTTGCTGCACCCGAGCATTCCCGTTATTCAGCAGATTGTTCGAATGAGTGTCGCATACCCTGATCCTCGTGAGGAGGGGACTGGTCCAATTCGTGGGTATTTTGACTTCTTGAACATCAACGAGGACGCCGTGGATGGACACACGTGCGAAAGACTCTCGATTACGTTTTCGACGTGTTCACGGCAGGTGCGACTGGAGGTTGCTTCGAGTTGACTGCGGCTACGAGGATACCATAGACGAGAGAGCGGAATTGGAAAACCTCATAGTGTCTAGCAGTCGTGGCAACAAGGGGAAGAAGAAATGACTCTCGCTACCGCATGTGTGAATACCCAGTTCGTTGCTCCAATATGTTCTGCGTTACTATACTTTGGTTGAGGTCGATCAAAACTGCTCCCAACGACAACATCATGCCAAAGAAGGTTCCACCGAGAGGATGAATCATCCGAGGCGATACATACTGTTAGAAAAGAACGAAGATTGTCTCCGAGGTATCTCTGCCTCCTCAAGAGCCAAAAACATAGGGATGTATGTAGTAGTGTCTATACATGTATGAGTTCCTCATAAGTAACTCTCCTTATAATAGTCTCCAATCGGACTAGGAAATTTATATAGCACCGAAATCACATATCATCATCCTCATCCGGTGATGGAAGAATTGCTTCTTGGAATGAGCCGGGAGTGTGACACGAAAGGAGCTCGAAAGACGTTACAGTCCGCTATGTCCCACTCCACCCCAACCAACTCAAGAATTAACCATATCAGAAAGCTGCCCAATGAATCTTAGATCGATTATGACCATGGAAAAGCTGGACTCAGAGACTCCTCAAGCTATGAAGTGAATGATACCTTAGATAACGACGAACGGATAAACAGCAAATAGCCATACTAATATTGCTGAAAGACCCTTATCGTTCTAACAATTTCACAGCAGCCAAACCAACAACTACTGTATGGTAGAGCCATGACCCTTGAAAATGCCTAAACGGCTGAGAGGGGCCTAATTATAATACTCGATCACACCTTGAACTGAGGCGTAGGTCCCCAGTACGAAGGCGATTGTTCCAACGACTATCAGTACATAGCATATGATATGCTCGAAGTCAAAGGTAAGGATGGGCTTCTTGGATATCTTCAATATGAAGGCCGCCGGGGAATAAAATGTGACAATCGAACCGGTCAAAGAGCCGACCAATCCCAACATAACATTTACATCAGGTAATGCAATGGCCACAGCGTAGGACAGACCAATGATGAATACCACTACTATCCAGCCGTATACACGCCTTCTAAAGGACGTCTTCGGAGGGAGAACAGCCGAAATGGCATGAACGATGGAGCTCCTCTGAGGGTAGACCACCAGGGGAAAGGCACCGACCACTGTAACACACATAAGAGCAAACGCAATGCAAACCATCACATCACCTCTTGAGATGTATTGGCCCATGTTCACAATGACTGAGGACTCCAAGCTCATGCCAAAGGCGAAGAAGCACATAACTCCGATAGTAGCGTAGACAGAGAAGCAAATCAAAATCGTCCAAGCAACCACGGGGGAGGAAGCGGCGAGGACTGGAGTCACGAACTTGGATGTAGACCTCAGGACATTGGGTTGGTTACAATAAGCAAACGTGTAGGTGTTAATAGCCGCCATCAGACTAGTCCAACCATTCACTGGAGAGACCATGGACGACGGAAGTTCATCAGACACACCATAACGACTAAGAACATAGATAGACGTCAAAGACAGGAAACAGACCCCGATAACGCCCAAGAAGGTCACATAACGGATTTCGCTTATGTGTTCCCTCATCGACAGTGGTAGGAGAACTAGTGCTGCTGCAATCGCAGTGAAGGGTACACGATGCACCCACAGACTCAGAAACCAATTGTCAGGGTTAGGACCAATGATGTGGATCAACACGGGAGAAAGGATATCAAACAAGGTGATCATGTAAGTGACGCAAGTACCGAAACAGAATAGAACCATGACCAAGTCGAATACATATCCCACCCGCTTCCCGAAAAGATGGTCTAACAGCTCCTCATAAGTCGGCTTTCCGGTAACATGGCAAGCCTGTGTTATCATCACTATTGACAGGAGAGATAGAACGCCCATGGCGAGTAATAGGACGAGGCCACCAAAGATCCCCGCATTGAGGATAGAGATAGGTACCGCCAGAGCCCCAGCACCTAACGTAGCTGCTGCCAGATTGAAGACGGCGCTAAACCGTCCATCAGGAGCGATGATGTGACCGCTACGTGTTAAACGATGAAAAACAGTATTGGAAGAGGGCTTGGCCTCTACACGAGAATCAGAACCCGTGAACACTTTTTCGGTAGAGGTACCGTGCTCTAATCCAGAAGTAGGGGTGGACATTGCCGGGAAAAGTGAGGAAAGCTGTTCAGTTGACATTCAACACTGTCATGTCGTCCACGGTGTATTCTATATTTCCCGAAGAGAACGCTGCAAGTTGTCTTGAACAACCCTAGAGGAGCTAGAACAAGCAGCACTGTCCCACACAGCTAGACGGAAACAACAACACCTTCCACAGAGGTGGAGCTAAGTATGGTTCAATCACGAGTAAGGTTAGAGTTGATTAGAGCCCACCAATTCGCCGTATCAAACGTGCATCAAATTGATGGTTAGTGTGGAGGGGGCCGCCAAACTTCGGTGATGCAAATGATCATACTTTCGTTCTCGACTACATTCTCGTGGCCAGCTCTGAGGCAATATACTTCAGTGCTTGAGACCTAGTATAAAGCATGAATCTGAGGTCCCAAAGTTCGGGCGGTAGGCCGTAGGCTGAAGGCCAGTTTCCTAAGAACATGATGTGACATCCTGCGGTACATTGCACCGCGTCACCTGAGAGTCTTAGATCGCGCTATAGTCAAATCTACCTCGCGTCACGCGCCATGCTAGGGGAGCACAAAACGCACATATGATTCGTCCACTGTAGTACAGCGCACAGTAACAGCCTATCAATTGTTTCTCATCTGTCAAGTTGGCGAAGATCGCACTTGGCTCAATTTAACCTTCGTATGCATGAACGAATAAGCATTCTAGATAACGTTGTGAACAGCAAAAGCTTGTTCGCGTTCCGCGTTCACGCCTTCTGTGTCCCGCCTCGTGTCGGAATTGCACCGAGTGATCGTGCTCATAGGAGCCTGCTTTATCCATACAACGCATACATACATTGCCATGATACCATGGATTATCCCGTAGCCGTCCGATACACTCCAAGAGAGATTAATTCCGCGGATACTCGACGCGACTTCCCTGAGGAGCTTCCAAAATGGTACAGAAGTGCTCCTCCAGCATTTGTCACCGTGTCGAGACAGTACTATATATCTGACGGTGTATCGGAGTCAGCGATTCGGTGAGCAGACAAGAGAATTCTTGGAGACTTTTCAACGTTGACTGCTGAATGAGGTCTATCGCTATATACTATGACAACCAAACTGACCATCTACTCTTAGGAGGAAGCTTCATCGAGCCCGGTCTGAGCATGCTTAAGTGAATTATGGCCGCCTATCTCCAACGAAGATGTCCTCAACTTTCTCAGTCTGACCGCAGTTGAAACGGTACTCATCAATCTCCCTCTGGGTAAGAGCGTCGAAGGACCAACACGCGCTGGAGCCTCTGAGAGAAACACGCAGAGATCAGCGTGAGCCCATCGACAGAATCCTCCCACCTTTTCCGACGAGGTCTGTCCATCCTCATATGCCTGTAATTGCCATCATTAAATATTCGGTCCAAGTCTGTCGCGGGCACAGCGCCGCCGAAAACAGATTCGGGATCTACACTGGCCTGGTCCCTAACCTGAATCCCCCAATAGATGTACTCGACGATGGCTAATACAGTCCAGAATGCCTACCAGTCGCTTCCACTGCCTCGACCATTCCGGAATTCTCTTCTTAATTTTCGGTTTTCCTCCCTTCTCTTGATCAGAATTGTCAGTATCCTTCTCCGACACATCGTACTGAGATATCAAAATAAAGATGCATAACTCTTCTCACCACCAGCGTCGCTACCTGGTCGTTAGAATCCAATGCAGGTAATGGCTTCAATTCCTGTCTCTGTGGAGCACAACTCCTCCGACCAATGACCACTGGGGTGGTATTCAGGGTGAGGGTGCCTGTGAAGGCTACCATAGCACTGAGACAACTAACTGCTTACATGCTTTCACAGGCGTTGGTGGATTGTTGGTATTCTTCTTAATAGACCCGAACGACTCGAGAGCATCGACAAATCTGCCATAAGACCGCATCATGTGCAGCCAATGCGAGATCCATCGCCACAACCAGCGACCTTTACACAACGAATGCCCTCGAAAGGTTCCTCTACTGATAACGGCCGACACTAGAAACATCTCGAGGGCATCACCTATGTCATTCACGGAAGCGATCCCATGGACCTACTTCACGTCATCTTCAGTAGGTCCGTTCTTCCCCGATGGATACCCCGGCAGGGAATCGAACGCTAACAAGAGACTTCCATCGGATGAAGCGGCGACGGAGGACTCACCATTGCTTTCATAACAGGTCTTCAAAATACTCCTCTCGTGCTCACTCTCCTCCGTCTCGTCATCAGCCTCTTCAGCATCATCTATCTGCATGGCCTAAACACAGCGAAGTGAGATACGCCGACTACCGCCTCATTCACCGATGGGCCTGGCTCACAGACCACAGTGTCTTCTTCCCGCATAGGAGGCGGTGCCACGAATCGGGGCGTTCTGAATCCTGCAGGCCCTTTCCCTGAGAGAGAGAAAAGGATGGAATCGACCAACAGCAACTAATGGGACGCCCTACACTTGTCACCCGCTTTGAAGGGGTTACTAGCCTGGGACGGGATCTGGCGAAGATCTGATAGACCAACATAAGGGTGCAATCATGGCGACGGGCGCGACATACCTTCCGCGCTTGGGGTCTTGGGAGCTGCCTGTTCCTTCTTATTCAGCATAAATCTGTTCTTCAACTGATTAACGATCCCACCAGCAGGGTGCGGAGGAGTCGCTTCCTCCCGAGCTGTGATGTCAACTACTGCCTCAGATATGTCAGCAGCAGCTCCAACATCCTGAACATGTTGATATGACCGAACGGCCCAGAGGGATGCGAGCCTCCATAAAATCCGGATATGACCCTGTCGGGACCTACATCATCCTCAGAGTCATCATCCACCGTCACCTCCTCAACAACAGCATCCTTAACAACAGCTGCCTTGCTCTTGGGCACAACCTTCGGAGGTTTAGTGACACCTTCTGGTTGCGACGGTGGGGCTATGACCCGTGCTGGAGCCTTCCCCACACCAGAGCGAGGCACCGCGCCTGGCCACGTCCATTATATGGTCTCAAACAAGATACTGTGGAAGACGTAAGTACTCACTCTGCAGATTAGGGGCTGTTTTGGGGATCTGCGGCGCCTTCATCTCATCCAGAGCTACGGCGGCTTTGTCCATCTTCATCACCTGCTTCATAATTGCTTCCTCCTTCAGTGTTGGCATTTCTGAAAAAAACACAGCGATCACAACCGTGACCAGCCTCGGGTCTTACCTGGTAGAGGAGTTCCTGCGATGAGCTGTAAAGCCTGTTCTTCGAATGTTTTCAACTTGGCAACAGCCACTCGGAACTCCATACTAGCCTTACCAATAGCACTGAACTCTGTCTCAGCCGCCAGTACCTGTTCATCATAGTGCGTGCCCGACGAATACGTCGACCCCACCTGCAGCTCGAACCACTCTCCAGCAGCCTCTAGGACATTCGACAAGTGCTTGCTTGCCATTTCGAGGTAAGAGGAGTAAACAACTAAGGTGAGTGTATCACAGTCAACATCAGCGTCGCAGGGATGAAGTCTCCAAAGAAGGTCAGTGAAGGGGTGTTATTGTGACGAAGCCCTCTATCTGTCCATGGTCGCGTGGGGCTCCTCTCAAGCCTTGTACCGGAGCCTATAGTTCCAAGCCGACATCACACCGAAGAGTAAGCTGCTGCATCACCAGAGTGTCCCCTTCGCCATCCCGATACAACTGCCACTACTACGATGACAACGAGCAGATAACCGTTCAATGCTTCCCTATCATAAAGGAGGCTTCAAGCAGGAGAACACGGAGATGTCATCCTGTGGCTTTCAACGGGACTATTCAGATGCTCATGAACAAGATGCTGCCGACCCTTCCCCTTACTCGGCTGGGCCTGTCTGACTCTGTGGGAGGACGGGCATAGTACAGTCCCACTCGCCAACGAATATTTCTTGACAACTCAAACTTCAGATATTTTCAGCGGCAACGATGGTTTTCTCATGGACATGACTAAATGCCAATAAACTTGTGAATTCCAGTTAGCCTGTATGGTGTGGTCGAACAAGCTAGTATAAAAAATCATCAAATACCCGATGCAGGATTCGAACCTACGACCATCTGCTCCGTAGGCAGACATTCTATCCAGCTGCACAAAGCTGGGGGCAAAAGATACTGAAAAGGAGGGGGAAAAGAAAAGAGGAAGAGAAGGGGGAGAGAGAAAGAGCAGAAAGAGAAAAAGAAAAAAGAAGAGGAGAAAGAAGGGGAAAAATTAGCCTGAAATGCCACTGAAAAGCACTATTCCTACCATTCACCCACACCAAACCCCCCAGACGCAACATTGAGCAAATAAATACACCAATTCATGCATCCTCATTTTCTTCTGCATTCATCATTTGGCTTCTTCCAATGCCCCTTCAAGCGAGCTTGCTTCTCCGCTTCGTAGCCGACCAATATGGATGGGTCATCAGAAAACAGACAGAAAACAACACCCTGACCAATATAACAATGCCTGAGACTCTTATAGATGCTGCTCCATGGTTGCGCACAGATGGTGCAGCATCGTTCAACCTTGGTCTCCGGCCCACCTCCTATGGCCAAGGATCTCCTTCGATCTGGTTTTCTTTATGACCGCTCTCTGATGATCGCTGAGCCGCTGGTGATGAACTGCTGTCGGCACATAGTAGTGCTACTCAGTGTTCTGCAGTATCTTTCGTCTGTCGACACCCAATAACCCTTACAGTCGAGACATCTAAACACAATATTTTGTAAGCTATACGGTAGCCCAATCCTGTAGCAAAGTTTGGTACGCCCAGCAGTATGAGCGGAGATTCGAGAAGTGTTACATGCAGGGCAGCGGCCCGACAGCGGAGCCCATACAAAATGTCGAAGATATCCCTGTTTATCCGGTGCCCACCCTATTTCGAGGTGTTTCAACTCGGATATATTGAGACATTGTAAACCTTTGGGTAAAGGCACCACTATTTCGGTCTGCGATACGGGTTCGCTAGCACATGCTCTTTCACCTCCGGAGATAGACTCGCGAGCAGTCGACGAGTTTGCTTTCTGCTCCTTACAACTCGGCTCTGGAGCCGCAGGGTCGACAGAACCCAGCGGAGTTAAAGGCCTCTTATGACTCGATACAGCGTCTTCTGAGCCCCCCTCTCGTGCAATCTGAAAGCACACTACACGTACACTCTCGCAACCCGCCGCGAAAGTGATCACGGATAGATACACAATTACGACCCCGACCCTTGTATGGGCAATTCAGTACCTTTTTGAACCTATCAGCAACCTGCTTCTTCCCAGGCGCTTCTCCACGTCCTGGTCCTGTATAAGCAAGCTCCTGTAGCCTTCTCTCCCACTCAGCTAGAGACTCTCCGAGATTTGGCTAAAAACTAAAAAAAGTAGGCTAATAGTAATAGTAATAGCAGTCTCCTACCATTATGCACAGTTTTTACACGCGCGACACTGCGAACTCCCGTTGCTTCTATCGCCTTCGCTCATCATACAAACATCCTATATAAGGAACTGCAGAGATTCCATCAGCTGCTCGTTGATCACAATCTTGCAAATACCAGACAATAGAAAAAAGGACAACTATTGTGGAAATATGACAGAGAATATCCACAACGTTGTATATGGAGATCGAAACTCTGAAGCACTCAATGCGGTAGAAGGGAGGTGACCAACACAAATGCCAACCAACATCAGAAATTTGACGTCATGGTAGCGAAACATGGTGCAGTGGAAACATGCTGCTTCAATCGATATGCAGTGACTGCCATGAGCTCATCTCATCTCCGCCCTCGACGAACTCGCTCGTCAAGTGCCTCCAGACGACCAGTCGCCACAACTGCCAAGGAATCTCGACCAAGCCCTCGGGGATGTGAATGTTGTAGGACTGAGAAAAGACCCATTGCGCGGCACTGACCACTCTGAGGCATTGATTGCCGAACGACATTGACCCGTCACCCTTCAGAAACCCGCCTCGGCCGCCCACCTCATAGAGCTCAGCACTGAGCTGACGAGCGCTGCATTGGTCAGCGTCGCCGTGAGCAGCGAGTCGCACTAGAGAAACAGTATCGGTCGAAGACCCTTGAGTAACCTTGAGGGAAGACACCAAATGGGCTCCTAGACCGGACCAAAGAGATAATTCCAAACACACCTCCTGAGTCCATACGGCTATGGTGTCCGAGACCAGACGAATAAAGCCATAGTCACTGAGGTACTTTCTGACCCCTTCGACACGCAAACCTTCATCCTGCAGGCAGCTTGGGCATGCAAGAATGGCAAATGACTGACACGCTCACAGCATTGATTCTCCCATCAGCATCGGTATCGAGGTAGGCGAATGCTGCCACTGCAGCATTGTGTGAGCTCGGAGATGTAACACCCAGGTATTCCTGAGGATAAAGTAGGAAGATCATCTCACGGATGACTTAGTGCCACAATGACCGCAACACTAGAAACCCGTGAGAGACAAGCTATTGACCCTGTCGTCCATTGCAGCTCCAAAACCACAGCCCATGAGGGGCAGGACCCACTCGAAACCTCTTCAGGTCCATTCCCCGTTCAGGTTTGTCTGCTGCGTCATCTATTGTCTTATGCTCGGTTTGTAACAACGACATTGCCGGGCTTAACGAGGCTCCAAGAGCGGCCTCGAACCCATGATAGAGCTGCTCATACCACACCTTTCGGGTCCAGTCCTCACCACCCAGCAGCCCTAGCATGCCCAACTCCCGCGCCGACACCATGCCTGCAGACCTCCTCAGACAGTATGATGATTATGAGCTCACCATCGCCATTATAGTCCAGATATTCTCCAGCGAGGACTCGAGCCTCCCCGGTGAGCCCATCAAAGGTCCACGTCGACGCCCCATGGGACGCTCTGGATTCCACCAAGAGGGCTACTTGCCGGAGTTCTATCGGTGCTGCCGCTTCCAGCCGTGACCAATGCTGCCACTCCTTGAGAGAGATGCTCCCACTGCTGTCCATATCGATAAGCGAGAGCAACTGAACGGGCCACCATAGTAATAGACTCATCATCCAGGCGGGGAAAAGGTAGTTCCTAACCCCACCTTGAGAGCTCTGCGGCCGACAGTCCCTCCTGCACCGACAAGCTCGACCCGAGAGAGGACACCATCATGGTCAGTGTCCAACATCTGGAACCGCGCTTTCATATTGACGGCACTGAAGGCCGCCCCAACGAGGGAAATCAAGTCGCTGGAGAAAGAGAGAAAAGTTCCAACTGGAACGATTCAGAATCCCCTACCTTCCGCAGCCGCAAAGTCGACTGAACACCACGAGAGCCTCCACCGGTATGGTATCAGCACCAATGTCAAGGAGAGAGTCGAAGGTCTGAGGCATTGGACAAGACGAGGCTGGGCCCAAGGCTGCCCGCAGCGGCCCTACCTCCATTGAAAAGACCCCGTCAGGGCTGTGCACGGCCATGCCGTAATCGATAAACTCATGGGCGTCTATGTGGCCATCAGTATTTGCATCCATCAGGCCGACCGCTTCGACAATTGCATCTCCCTCACTGCTGACCAGCGGGAGCAGTCCGTCCCGCGCAACAGCCAAGCGCATGATGGTCATGGTCAACTCGACTAGAAGGATACCACTTCGATCGTGATGAAAGCAGCCGTACCATCGGTAGAAGTGATGAAGTCTTTAATGGAGACACGTACAGCATCAGGGAAGCCCCGGAGGACCTCTTCATAACCAGCAAGAGGATCGCCAGACCCATCATAGCGCCGAGCCAATCTGCGTTATGCTGAACCAGCGATGACCAGAGATGCTCACTTAGAGACGAACAGTGAGGCCGCTGGCGGTAGCGTCTCTGGGTCGATCAGGGCCAAGACCTGCCACTCCCCTCGTCCAAGAGCCTCCGACGGGACCAACGACATGAGCCTCTCATAGGCCAACTAGAGAGGGTCATACCAAGGACCACTACGTCGACACCTACGCAGATGCTCGAAGTGCCGGTAGCGGTCTCAACAGTAGAACTCTCCGAGGCACATCCCATGTCGCCCCGCGACAGCCATCCGTCCCGGTCAACGTCCAGCTCAGTGAATCTCGCTTCCAACCCAATCGAACGCATGAGTTTGACAAGACGAGTCGTCCCCCTGATGCAACTATAGCGGGCCAATCGACATCCCCCTACCGGCCGTCCTTGAGAACCCGATATAAGCTCTCGAGACCTCTCCATGATAGGCCCTCCTGACCGACGCAGCTTCGCAATAAGTCAAAGACCTGAGGGGTACGTCCACGACCAGCAGTAGGTTACTGCTTCACCTCGGCTGAAAAGGTACGACCGGCCCCAAGCTGCTGGCGTCCAAACTCTATCCAACTCCTCCGTGTCAGCCTAGTCTCCGGGAACACCGCCATCGGTCGCCTCTGAAATGAGTCAACCACAGCAACAGTGATGAGCATGGCCTACATCATGAAATGCCGCGACGGCATCAAGACCCTCAGTGGACTCCTCAGGCCGCGGCGAGCCTATCTCGAAGAGGGAATCCTGCGAGTCCAAGGACAACAGCGGTAGAACAAAGGCGAAATCGCCCCCGTCAGCCTCACGTGCCACATAGATTCCACCATAGCGCCTCCCAGATCCCTATCAGCTCCAAAGGCCTTCTTCAGCAGGTCAGTAAAGACCTCCTCAAAACTCGCCCTGCCGGCATCGGGCCCAAGTAGCAGCTGTACCAGAACAGCCTCACTCTCCTCGATTTCACCTGTGGCCACCTCCGCCTCAGTGACAGGACCCATCGCGTCTCACCACTGCCGTCCAAGTCGAAGAACTCGAGTCCCTCAGTCGTCTCTTCGCTGTCGCGATGCTTCTTCCCATGGCCTTTTTCCGGCACGCCTTTTAGCAGCGACTTCAACCGAATCTTCAATTCCGGAGCGCTGGACACCTCCAGCCGAGAGCGGTGCCTAAGTAACAGTCCGTCGCTGAGATAGCCATCGCGAAGCATTGAGGACTCAAATAACAGGAAGTGCGTCTCTAAAGGGACCGTCCGGATGTAAGCCCATTTCTGCAGCGCCTGACGGGACACTCCCCGCCTTCCCTCCTCCTCATCTTCCCACAGTATGTCAACAATCTGAAGAGAACATTGTATAGCATCCCCTTGTAGCTGCCTACCTCATCGAAAGTCTCATCCCAGCCGAGCTCCTCTGCTGACAGGAGGCCGTTCCTATCGGTGTCGAGATGATAGAATAGCGAGGCGAGAGAAGCCGCATCGAAGAGCTGCACTGCCTGGCCGAGTAACCTACTCCGTCGACTGTGATGTCACATAGATTCCAAACGAAAGAGCCCACCTAGAGGCTCTCAATTTCGTCCATGGAGTGATCACTTCCAAAGGGATCGCGCCATCCACCGACAAATCATCGAAGCTCTGAAGGGAGGCCTTCCACAGCTGACCAACAACGGGCCCACCGAGTCAGCAAAAATCCCTCTGCCAGCCTTGAGGGTCTGGTCAAGCTCAAGGAATGTGCCTCGCGTGAGATCGGCAGAGACGACACCATGGCCCAGCGGCCCGTAGGGTATCAGCTCCTCCATGATGGGCATGAGATCCGAAGCCAGACGAATCAGGCCGAATTCAGAAGGAGCCACTTTGCCTGAAATGCCCTGGCGCACTGGTGGAAGTTCGAGGGATGAAAGCCTAAAGACTTACCATCGCCATCCTCATCTAGGAACCGAACAAGCTCATCGACATCCTGCTTGCCCGACTTGGCCAGCTCACCCATCACCTTTACAGTGACGATAGCGGTATCCTTCTCAACGCTATCATCCCTTCTCGGGAGTCTACAAGGTCACCAAGGACGACCACCTATTCAAAGCCCCTCGGCTACTTATTCGTTGCCATCCACTTCACGACAGCAGGGGTAGCATCTTGGCTGCGACCAGCGAGCCTTTGCCACTCTGTTCGTGACAGTTTCCCAGACCCGTCAGAGTCCAGTACTCCGAAGAACTAAATGTCCGCAGACCTCCAGGATCCCCTCGAGCCGAGCAGTAGCCCACCCATCTCTTGTCCGCGTCCTCAGCCTTAATCTCGACCTCCTCCAAGGTGAGCTCATTGTCGCCATCCTTATCAAACTGCATGAATCGATCATGCAACAGTAAAGCCTCGACAAATCGGTAAATCAACGGAAGGTTCCTGAGCGCTGAGAACAATATGATCACTTCCCCATGCAGCCCATACGCTGAGTGTTTGGTCGCCAGATGGAGGGCTTCAAAGTACTGCATGTCCACTGTACCAGTAGTATTATCTCCCAGCAGCTTCAGGACCTGGACAAGGGTGACGACCGCGGTCGAGACTAGGGCTCACCTCCACTGGGAACAGCCTCCTATAGGACCCACTATGGGCCCTCATGACATTTAACTCAGCATGGGAGAGGACTCCATCGCCATCTATGTCCGATACGTAGGCCGATACGGTCAGATGAGGTAACTGCTGAGACAATGCCAGAGGACAAGGTCGTGAATGACCATACCGATGCCTCCTCAGTAGTCGCGCTTCCCGAATAGGAGCGCACCTGAGGGCGAGCGATCTCGACCACCCCTGCAGGCCCTTCCTACCATCCGTTGCAACCACGACGACGTACCCAATACCCCATCAGAAGAGATGCTCAGGTCCGCCTCAAAGCCGCGCCTCAATGCCTCTCCGAACTTGTCCCGGTGGGAGACGCCCTCCGGCGCGCCATAGAGAAGCTTTTCATATCCAAGGCCTCGCGACTGGTTGCGGTCTGCATCGTATTATTCCACCGATCTCAGATATCACCCACCCTGGTCGGCCTTCACGCCTTTCCTTCTCTTTGTCGGCTTATGCCACTCCTTCCCGCCCTCCTCAGGCCTCTTCAGCCCCTCCTCAGACGAATTGCCAGCGGTGCTCCTTCGACTGAGGCAGGTGCTGATCACCCCGAACCGGACCCCAGCTCACCCAATCATGTCGAGCTTCGCCTCTCGAGGGGTCGAATGGGCGAGAACCCAGTACTGCAAACTCTTCCTCGATAGCCCAGCCCGGTCTCCTTGGGATCCAGTTCGAGTCAACTCCTCCATGAGCTGAACCAAGGCGAGCTCTGGCCCTCGACGCCGGCACTGACCAGACCAAGTGAGCATCCTCTTCCTCCCAGTTGAGCTCATCCCTCGACAACCTCCCATCCCTATCCCGGTCCAAGCTGTAGAACAGCGAGTCCATGTTCATTGCAGAGAACATCCCAGCCACCGGCCGAAGGTGCCTGGACAGACCCTACTGAACTCTATCAAGGCCGTCATCACTTCCTATTGCGGAGCTGCATCCACCTGCTGAGGACCCGGACCGGGATGAGCTTCCTTCTAGGGTCGGACAGAAGCGCGAAAGCCTGACAAGATCAGCCGCCCGGTGCAGTCCCTCATTGGATCGCCGACCCACCTCCGCGCCGAATATCTTCTCATCGCCCCTGATCCTCCTCCCCAACTCTTCGAAAGCTACCTCAGTCAAGTCTTCCGCGACAGGCGGGGCCTCTAGAGCCCCTTCAAGCGGCAATATCAACTCCACCACGTGATGCATATCCCCTAGCAGCCTCAGACAGCCGAATTCTGATGCTGACAACTTCCCTGAGAAAACCACAACAACACCGGAGCCCCCGGACCATCAACCCAACCGACCATCCCCATCGATGTCAATGAAGTCCCGGGCATCTTCCACCTCGTCCTTGGTCAAAGTATCCAGCTGTCGTAACGCCACTACCATCACTCTCGCCAAGTCCACCGTATAGTTCTTATCGCGTTGGGGTAGCCTATCATATCACGATGATTGTCCTTAATAGGAACCCTCGGCCCTCACTTGGTCGCCACCCACACAGCTGCATCAGGAGCCGCCTCATAGGAGGTACCCGCCAACGTCATCCACTCCCTCTCTGATATCGAAGAGCTGTTGACAGTACCAAGGAGGTGCCTCAACTGCATTGACCATCAGTGGCCCCCCATCCACCGTAGGCGTCCCACCCAAGCCGCCTCCTCAGCCTTGATGCCGACCCCAACGAGTTCCTCCTTGCTGAGTTCTTCATCCCCATCGCGGTCCATATCCACGAACTTAGCATGTAGCTGCAATGCCTCCACCAAGCCGTAGACCAACCCGACCGTCCTGAATAATTCCCTCCCAGCCTCCGACCAGGCCCAGTATCACCGATAGTCTTTGGTACAGAGGTGCAGCTCCTCCAACAATCCCAAGTCCATCCTTTCCTCCCCGACACCAAGACCTTCCAAGACCTACGAGGGCTTCTCCTTGGCGGAGCCCTCAATCCAGACACTGACCTCCTTAGACACCACCTTATGGCTGGCCCCTATGACATCCCGATAGTCCTCCATCTCCTTCATAGACAACCGATGGTCCCCATCAGCATCTGCTCTATAGCCCGATACAGTCGCGTAGCCCTAGGAGGCACTGGCAACGACTATATTGCTTCCCTCACCTCGGGCCCTTCCAGCTGTGGTCTGTCCGTCTCCAATAGTGCCGACGCAGGGACCTACCATTCTCGCTATTACCGATACTATATAGTCATGGTACCTCGAGTGAGGCCTCCATGACCACCTTGAAGCCTTGGTACTGGATGGCGTTGAAGGTCTCAACGGTCTCGCTTCGTCCAAGTAGACCCAGCAAGGGGACCTCCACCTCATCGAGCTCACCTGATGCCCATAAAAGTGATGGAGAACTGTCCTGCCCTACCATCGCGGTCCACATCGAACACGTTCAGTACGGCTGCCTTCTCCTCGGGACCTATTCCCCGTAGGACCCGACTCGCCACAGCGTGCATGTCCGACCCTTTTGACTTGGCCACGACGCTGAGACGAATCCCCACTAGAAGGTCCACCGCATCGGATCGCCTACTCCAACGCAAAGACGGCCACCTGTAGCGGTGCCGTGAAGGCGTAGATGAGCTGTTGCAGACTTGGCCAGTCGAGGGAGGTGGTACCGTCAGGGCCCTCACTCCCGATGGCCTCCAATACCTATACACCTGCATATCAAGCTGAGGCATCATCCCTCCGACTGAACGGTCGGAAGGACACTACAGAGTCTGCGTCGTCGTGGAATAAGAGAACGCCGACCTCATTCATGCCCCTCAAGGGAGGAAATAACCTCTCCAGCTCCTCTAAAGTGACCCTCCCGTCCTTATCAATATCGGCACTCTTGAAGAAAGCCTCAGCGTTGATCATACTGAAGACTCTCAATAGCTCCCTCAGCCGCCTGACCAACTACCATCCCCTAACCGTCCACGTCCACCCTCACCTTCTCCCCACTGCATACAACCACCCCTTCACAACCTCCACGGGCACCTCGACGGCCGCCCTCACAGGACCCCTCGAGGGAACTGCTAGCGCCTCGAATGCCTGACATCGAGGACGGCCCCACCCAGGGGCTGCTTTCTACGACTACCTTCACAGTGAAGACATTGGTCATGCTTTGCATCCTCCTAGTGTTCGCCAAGAAACGTCTCCTATCCCACATTGAATCAAGGGAAACCCTACCAGGCTCATAGAGCAACGGTGGCAAGAGGGCCTCAATGAGCTCTCCCTCGGTGAAGAGACGTAGCAATGACAGTTCGTGGTCGTCTAGGTACCCTGAAAGTACCACTAGAAGGTCCAGCAGTGAGGCGGCTACCATCGCCGTTGACATCGAGGACCTGCCCAACCTCCGACTGTTGGTAAGGCGACAGGCTCTGGAATTTCTCCCTGATCCCTTCTGCCGTCCACAATGATGTAGCCGAGACCCTGAAGCGTTTGAGAAGCGAGCGGGCTCCCAAAGAGGTACCTCCTGCTGAGCCATAGGGCACTGGGTGGGACGGCGTCAGGGTGCATACCAGCCAGGACCTGCAGCTCCGATAGGGACACCCAACCCGAGCCATCTCGATCCAGGACTCCGTACACCTGACCATCGAATAATCAGCGACACCAACTATCAGCCCACGGCCCATCAAGTCGCCCCTACAGGGTCCTCACCCAAGCCTGATGTGGCTCCAAAGGGACCTCCCCTCTCCCCAGCTGTCCGTCTCCATCCCTGTCCATCTCATCGAACTTGGCCATGATAGCGAGCGAGTCACATACAAGGTACACTCGGCGAAGGTTCCTGACTCGTGTGAGGGGCCTCTGCGGCCTCAGGCAGGGCGGCCCACCTCATATCTTTAGAGCTGAGGTGTAGCCGATCGAAGTCGTCCACGGTGATCTCATTGCTAGTCTCATCCCCACCAACGAACAGATGGAACACCTCCACAGCACCACAGTCGAAGGACTCCACCAAAGCCTTCCCTACCTCCTCAGTGAATGCCCCTTCTCGGGCCTTCAGACTCCTTCCAAAGTCTCGAAAGGTCTCGTAAGGGACCCTCCGGCCCGAAGCAAGAGCCCCTATCGAGTACCGCGCCACCTTCATATGGGCCTCAGACGTCAACTAACACCAGCCGTTATCCTGAAGCACAACCAACCTCCTTGTTACCCTCCCCATCTCCATAAAGGATCCCGGGACTCCTCCTGGCCCTCCAAGACCCCCCTCCGGCAGGACCTGCTCGGCCTCTCCCTCTTCCACCATACCATCAGCCGCCGCGTCCGCTACTTCTACCAGAGGCGTCCTCATCAGGCCGGCACCACTACCCCTGGCTATTGGATGCCAGCTGAGCCTAGGCCTCCTGCGATAACCCAAGAGGACCTCCGACGCCACCAGGTTGGCCATCTCAGTGCCTCCCCCTATGGCTCTGAGGATGCTATAGTCAGCATCACTTGGTCGGCCTGAACTCAGCCGTCCCTTGAACAGGACCAAGGCCACTCACCCGTCCCCAATGAGTCCAGAGTCCTATCCACTAGACGTGCATACGTCGGTGGGAGTCGAGCCAGCTTGGCATGGGTAGCAGCCAGGAAAGGGCCCTTGGGTAAAGGGAAGGGGCCGCTCTCGAAGCCCTCAGTGAGCCTGTGCTACACCTGCCTTCACCCATCCATGTCCACGGCCTCACCAAAGGGCGAGCCGCCTGACAGCTATCGGGGCCCTGTTGATGATGAGCATCCTCTGCCACTCGTATCGAGAGAGATACCCATCACGGTTGGTGTCAAGATAATAGAACAACTGAAAGGACCATCGCCACCACCTCAAATAGCCTCTACTGGCCCCACCCCTCTGCCCGACAGGGTCGTCCAGCCGACCTCTTCCAAGGACAGCTCAAAGCTTCTAAAGTTGTCCAGCTGCGAGAAGCGGCTCTCCAGGGCCAGCGAGTCCATAACCGTACGGACGTGACCATCACGCTCAGCCATGGAGGTCAGCAGCCTACCACATGAACACTAGAGCTTGAACAGCGAAGGGGCACCCACTCTCCCTGGCCTATGGCTCGGAAAATGTCGTCCACCTCCTTGATAGAGACGTACTGCGGATCCTCCTTTGTCGCAAAGGCCACGAAAGACTGCCAGCCAGGCGGGTCACCATAGACGGCGAAACCTCCTCACCTCTTCCGTGAAGACAAACGCGGGAGCTCGCACGATTCTACCAAATCTCGTCCACTCCGACAAGCTGACCCGGCCATCACCGTCCTCATCCAACAGTACGTATACATCGACAGGAGCATTCCGGAAAAGCTGAGGGCATTCCAGTGGTCGGACATCGTCACCAACGACCCCACATTGAGTATTGGTAGCTTCCTCGGTGCCCTAAGCAGCAACACCCAGGCATCCAGGACCGCGGCTAGGCCCTCTCTGAGAGGCTCCCCAGTGTCTAGGACTACCAAAGGACCGTAAGCCACCAAGACCCCGAACAAAGCACACACTTACGCCCTCGAAGGTGCTCGATGCCTTGGTATAGCCTATGGAAGGTGGTAAGGTGAGGGTCCTCGCCCAGCAGGCCTCTCCTCACGAAGGCCCCGAAAGCTACTTGGTCATGGACCGGCGCCTCCATCGAATACAGCTGATGGACCCCCGTTCACACGAGCCCAAACGCGGCACCCCCACCTCTGCCAGCAAGGAACGCAGCCCCTCCAACTTAGCGATGGTAGAGTTGTCGATCCACTGCATGACCCTACTAAGGCAACCCTTACCAGGAGGAGCCTGACACCAGCATCACAATGCTAGAGGAGGGGCCGACCCCCTTACGAAGCCTCTCATGCCCACTACGAACTCCCCATCAGAGGGTGTGGGCTCTCGAGGCTCGGATACATCGTATCTACGTCGGCCCTCCTCAACGGCAGCCGGCGTGGTCCCTACATGGTCTCCCCATGGGCATGCTTCGGCGGTGTTGGGTGAGAGCTGCTAGAGCCATCAGCGCTGTTACCGGACCTTCCCAACCTGATCAATTGCGTATCATAGGTTCACTCTTGAAAGATACAGATGATGTCCCCAACACCAGTAGCACCCACTCGCGGCGGAAGGCTGCAGCCACCCTCGGTAGCCCATCCCTAGATGATGACACTGGTATGACCACCCAGTCGGGAGGATGCGTCCCTGGGCTGCTGTAGACCAGTCGGGGAGCGAAGGGGTGAAGGTGGAAGAGGGGGTCGTAGTAGGGCCTGATGGAAGGACCATGGCCCTGCCAAGAAGTACCCACTGACCCCTGGCCACTGCTGGTATTGGTACAGCTCGGACAGTAGATGGCCCTACTGCTGGTGTCCCTTAATCTATGGGAGTGCCTTCTTGATGGCATGACCCTCGATACTGGCTTGGTCGGTGCGATTGTTGGAGGGGGACGTATTCTACCGCCTGCCGCGGCAACACCCTCGAGAGTGTTGCCAACCTTCTCGGGCTGAGGACCAGTAGTAGAGCTCGTAAGGCCCTCCATCTTAAAAAAGATGTCCTCGGTAACTCCTTCGATACCCCTCCCGTGCGGAAGCCTGTCGCTGGTGCCTTCCCCACGAACCGGCTCAGCCACCCCATCCCTACCATCATCGACACCTTCAATGACCCCATCCTCTCCATGGACCGGCTCAGGCAGCCCATCCCTACCATCATCGACACCCTCTATGACCCCATCCTCCCCATGGACCGGCTCAGGCAGCCCATCCCTACCATCATCGACACCTTCAATGACCCCATCCTCCCCATGGACCGGCTCAGGCAGCCCATCCCTACCATCATCGACACCTTCAATGACCCCATCCTCCCCATGGACCGGCTCAGGCAGCCCATCCCTACCATCATCGACACTTTCAATGACTCCATCCTCCCTATGGACCGGCTCAGGCACCCCATCCCTACCATCATCGACACCCTCTATGACCCCATCCTCTCCATGGACCGGCTCAGCCACCCCATCCCTACCATCATCGACACCTTCAATGACCCCATCCTCCCCATGGACCGGCTCAGGCAGCCCATCCCTACCATCATCGACACCCTCTATGACCCCATCCTCTCCATGGACCGGCTCAGCCACCCCATCCCTACCATCATCGACACCTTCAATGACCCCATCCTCCCCTTGGACCGGCTCAGGCAGCCCCTGACCCTCGCCTCCACTGTCGACTCCAAAGCCAGGGCCGAAATCGGGTTCGTGGAGTTCCCTCTCTCGAACCACCGGGTCAATCTCACTCCCGGTGACACGGTGGTCCTCGACATCAGCTCTCGCTACTCGGATGAGGCCCGGAGGGAGCGGCCTTTCTACCGTAGCCAGAGGCGCCCCCACCGGCTGGTTAGTAAGAGCATCTCTTGACGTCGGAGTGGCGGCATTAGTCGCTACCCCCTCCACAATAGTATCATCATAATCATCCTGGCCATGCCTAGACCTCGCAGGAGGCTTACTCAGGCCCCTCCCCGGCCTCCTTGTCGGTTGAGTGGAGACTGACGGAGTGTTGGCCACCGACCCCAGGCCAACATCTGGCACAACTTTTCCACTATCTACAGGGTAGCGTGGTGATGGCAACCGAGCTGCGTCCTCCATGGTGTCCTCGTCAAAGTGATATGTGAAGTCATCGACTGCTCCCGATCCGACCGACTCCTCAGGGGTCCTGTTCTCTGGTTCGAAGCCTGGTCCGAAGCCCCCAGTGGGACTAACCGGGTTAGGCCCTTCAAGATAGCCAGCGTCCGAGCCTGGTCCAAGGTCCTCAGCAGGATCAACTGACTTGACCTCTTCAGAATGGTAAGCATTGAAGTCTGGTCCGAAATCGCTAGTAGGAGCAGCCAGGCCTGACTCTGAGAGGCCATCGGGAACACCATCCACCGTCTGGCCCAGGTCGTCAGCTACTCCATCACCCGGCATCTCCGGTACTCCCCCCTCTAACTGACCAGGGTCCGATTGGGCCGCACCATCGGCTACATCTTCCCACCTAGGAAGGTCACTGGACCCGACTGGGCCCAACAGAGTTCTGTCGATTTGCTCGAGATTCCCTACATACCTGCGCGGACCGTTTTGTACGCGGTGCCGCTTCTTACCCTCATGAAGACCCATTTTCTCATGGTGGCCCTCTTGCCCCTCTGGATGGCTTTCTTCCTCCGCTGGATGACCGTCGTCTACCTCAGGGTGACGGTCCTCTCCCTCCGGATGACCGTCCTCTCCCTCCGCATGACCGTCCTCTACCTCAGGGTGGCCGTCCTCTCCCTCCGGATGACCGTCCTCTCCCTCCGCATGACCGTCCTCTACCTCAGGGGGACCGTCCTCTCCCTCCGGATGACCGTCCTCTCCCTCCGCATGACCGTCCTCTACCTCAGGGTGGCCGTCCTCTCCCTCCGGATGACCGTCCTCTCCCTCCGCATGACCGTCCTCTACCTCAGGGCGGCCGTCCTCTCCCTCCGGATGACCGTCCTCTACCTCCGCATGACCGTCCTCTACCTCCGGATGACCGTCCTCTATCTCCGGATGACCGTCCTCTCCCTTGCGATTGTTCCCCTCCGGCCCTTTTGATATGTGGTAACCAGTATCAGCAAGTTCCTCCCCGGCTGGGCTGTCTATATGTCCGAGCACGTCCTCCCCCGATGCTGCTCCTCCTCCGGCCAGCCCCTCTGCCACCCTGAAGCCCTCATCCTGTCCTACCCCCTCCCCAACCACACCATCGCTGCCACCATACAGCGTATCCCAAGCTGACCCTCCGGCCTCACCAGCGGCCGCCATCGCTCTCGAAACTGGTAGAGTACCTTCCTCTCCCTTCTTATGCCCTTTGGGCGTTCCCCTTCTTGGTCCCCTCGAGCCCCTCCCCAACCTTCCTCTATCCCGAGGTTGACCTGCCGGCCGCCTTTCGCCCTCATGTACCCCATAATAGGACGTGACCATGCTGAAGATCAACTCACTCTGAGCCTCCTCCCTCCCCCACTCCTCCGCCACCGATACCGGGGCCACAACCGACAGTTTCCCTCGATGGTCCAAATGGGAGCAGTACGAATAGAGGGCCTAAGGCACGACCATGGCCCCACCCATCGAGACCTGCCCTACCCTCTTGGCCCTATACACCAACCCACTCATCACCCTCACATCCCGAACCCTTATGGAGGCCTCAACCCCCGACTGCATGAGCCTCTCCTGTAGGGTGTGTAGGTCATCAAGGACGTCCAGATGGGCCCTGGTCCCTCCCCAGGCAGCCTCAGCATACGCTGTAAACCTGGCCAGTATGGTAGTGTGTCCCATCGACCTCCCGACTACCCTATGTGTGGTCCAGGCACTTGATAAGCCAGCAGGATCCCCTCCTTATGGGAGCTCACGAGAACTTCATCGCCAGTAATACCTACGTAGAAGTAATACTTGACGAGGCCGGGGATCGAACCTCTGCCTCTTCTGAGAAAGAATCACGCAAGTTACTCAACCAACTCACCATGTCGGAGAACTCTTCCGGCCACGCCCCGTACTGACCCCTCGAGTATCCGAGCCACCTAAGCAACCATTCAGCGTGGAGAGGTCACCAGCAGCAGCGAGTACCGTGCGCCTGAAGCTCATGGTGTCCCTCCAGTTGATGATCTCAATGTCCCCTTCCACCTCCAATGGGGACGTATCCAATGATGACCCTCGGAAGACCTCCACCTCGAAGGCAGGCGTACCACCCATCGTCAGTGCCGCTAGAGCATTCTGACAAGCCAGCAGATAAGCTTCGACCCCATCGAGAGCATAGACCCCCCACATGGACGGCCCAGCTGGCCT